TGCCCCTAAAATAATGAATTTTAGATAACAAAGAGGTGAAATGCTGAGGAAGCAGAGGAAAAGTTTAATCACCCAATCACAGTAAAAATATTCAACAGGATCAGTGGTTCTAACAGGCAGACTTCTTTGGAGAGCCCTAACTATTCCCAGGGCAGACCTAGTTTCCAGTTTCCCTGTATGCCCTTCTTCATGTACAAGGCCTCCCTTCTAAGAGATTGCTTATAATTTCTTAGGTCTTCCTTATGGTCCTGAAGTTGGGTTGTTTTGTAGTTAGTTTGTAATTAGCTCTGGATAGTTGTCATTTTTTAATGCTTCTAGTACTGGGAACTGGCCATGACCTTCACCACTGGTTTTATTCATTTGGAAAATGTTCTTATTTTAAAAATTATTTTCTTTTGTGTTTTCAGAGGATCATTCAGGTCAGAGCTACTTTTGATAAATCTTCCTAGAAATATTTTCTATTGATTTTCATATTTTTAAAAATTTTTACTTGTTTAGGAAGGGGAACCTTCTGGAAAGAGAAAAGCAGAAGATGATGATAAAGCGAGTAAAAAGCATAAAAAGTATGTGATCAGTGATGAAGAGGAAGAAGATGATGACTGAAGCACAATGTGAAAACATTTTATGTATTTTTGTACAGTTTATTAAATATGATGTAAACATGAGTTATTTTGATTGAAATGAATTGATTTGCTTTTGTGTAATTTTAATTGTAATAAAAATTTTTTTAAAGCAAGTCTCTGTTCAGGAAGTCTACTTTATCTAAAGCAAGTTGATTTTGTTTAAACTTCACAGGAAGTCTTAAGTTTGAGTGAATTCCTGCTGCTCTCTCCATCCCCTACCCCCCACAAAGATGCCTCCTAGTCAGGGTCAGGTGAGGCAAGTGAGGCATTCCTCTGGAGTGCAGAGTTTAAGGGCCCAAAAAGAGCTTCTTGTGCTTGTTTCAGTTTGTTAGGGCTGCTATAACACAGTACCACAAACTGGGTAGCTTAAAACCACAGAAATGTATTCTCTTACAGTTCTGGAGCCTAGAAATCCTAAATCAAAGTATTGGCAGGGCCACTCTCCCTCTGAAAGCGCTAGGGAAGAATCCTGCCTTGCTGTGTGTTCTGGCTTCTGGGGCCTCCTGGCAGTCCTTGGCTTTTGGCAGCAGAACTCTGTTCTTTCCTTGGTCTTTACGTGGGTTATTTCCCTTTGTTTGCTCTGTGTCTCTGTGTGTCTTCCTCTCCTTATGTGTCTCCTCTCCTCTGTGTCTCTGCAGGTCTTCCTCTCCTTATATTAGGACACCAAGCAGTGTGTTTAGGACCAGTCCTATTCAGTAGACTTAATTATATCTGGAAAGACCCTACTGCTAAGTCAAGTCACATTCTGAAGTTCTGGGTAGATATGAACCTTGTGTGGGAGGGTCCCTCTTCAGCCCATTATAAATGATACCATGATATAGGATGTTAAAAAAAAAAAATGGAACTAATGCGAAAATCCATAATGATTAAAATGTCAGAATTTTATGTAAACAGGACCTGGTGGCTGAAATTAGGGTAAAACAAGTGAGGAGAATTGTGCAAGTACAGAGCTGGATGGATCCGTGCTTTTCTTAAAAATTTGATAATGTATTCATGGGTCTTTCACAAGAAGCTTTAAAAAGCATTGTATTGGGGCTCCTCGGTGGCTCAGTCAGTTAAGGAGCCGACTCTGGATTTCAGCTCAGCTTATGATCACAGGGTGGTGAGATCGAGCCCCGTGTCAGGCTGTGTGCTCAGCAGGGAGCCAGAGCCTGCTTGGAATTCTCTCCCTCTTCTTCTGCCTCTCCCCTGCTTGTGTGCACACTCACGCTCTCTAAAATAAGTAAATGTATTTTTTAAATAAATAAACATTGTATTGCAGTGTGGTCATCTAGGTCACTGAGATTTTGGCACCCCTTGTATTTTTCACTCAAGGTAAGTGTCTCACTTCCGCATCTCAGTCCTGGCCCTACTTTCTCACAGCATAATGGCTGGGATCCAACACTGAGCATCCTAAGAGAGGGAGCCAGGTAAAAGCTGTATTACCTTTCACATCCAAATCCAACACCTTCTGTTGATTAAAGTGAGTCACTCATGTGTACCTATATTCAAAGGGAAGGAAATTTGACTCCTCTTGATGGTTGGAATGGCAAAGAATTTGCAGGTATGTATTACTTTTTTTATCTTTTTAAAGGGTTTGTTTATTTTGGGGGGTGGGGTCATGTGCTCACAAGTTAGGGGAGGAGCCGAGGGAGAGAGACTGAAGCAGCCTCCCTGCTCAATGTGGAGCCTGACTCAGGTCTTGATCTCATGACCCTGAGATCATGACTTGAGCCGGAACTGACTGAGCCACCCAGGCGCCCGTGCAGGTATGTTTTAAATTTACCACACACATATTTGTCTTTTCTGTGATTTTCTTCTACATAGACTAATTAATCTTCCCCTTATGAATGGATTCTACCCAACTTCCTTTCTAGTGCTGTTGGTACAGTCTGGGAGTGCTGGTTGTGGGAGGCTTACCTAAAACCTGACTACAGAGAAAGAAAAGTGACATCGAAAAAGAAGGTCCCAAATCACCAAGGTGCCACTTTGCTTTTTTTTTTTTTCCTCATGTGCCACTTCCCTAACACCAAAACCTTCAGTCTCTTGCTGTTTCTTGGTTTAACAAATTGTTAAAACTATGCCTGGCTTTTAAGAGCCTTCATTCTGCCTGTCCTTTTTAAGGCAATATACTTTGTTTTTTGTTTTTTTAACTAGTAGAACGTGTATTCATTATTAAGCTCTTGTCTTTTCATCTCCAAACCCACCCTTTTTTACCAAGCTTGGTGGTGCTGGGGCCAAGATTCTGCAAGCACATCTCATCTTTGCCAGCTGCCCCCTGTTAGGGGGCGCTGGAGGGAGACTGGAAGACTGAATAACAAAGAAGAGATTGCTCCTTCCTGTTTATTTATGGAACTTTCTGGAAGCTTCCTGTCAACTTGCAGTTTTTCTAAGGGGGCCCACAAACCCCTTCACCTCAGCAGAGGCAGTACCTTGCCACAGCAGCTCATCCAGTTTGCAGCTTTACCAGCACTTGGAGAGCCAGCTTCATTGTATCTCCCCGCCCCGCCCCGCCCAAGGCATCAGGGCCTGCTGGACACTTCTCTTCCTCAGGTATGAGTTTCAGCTCCATACTGTTAAGTTTTTACGTTTAATAATTCCACCTCTTCCTTTGTTCCCTCATTTCTAGAGGTGGAAACCTAAGTAAAAAAATACTTTTAAAATTTTAGTTCTATCTGTATAGACTGCTGGTGTGTTTTCTGTTCCCCAACTTGGACCTGACTGGGTAGTCCAGGAGAGAAATCCTCAAAGATGTGATTTGCAGATGAGTTTGGGTTTGAATGCAGGTCTGAGCTCCTCGCCAATGAAACGGGATGCTGGTAACGCATGGTTGGTGGCATGGTGCATCCGATTACCCCTCTGGTTGAGGGCTCAAGTGGCTGTTAGACTTGTTGGGCGTAGTGACGATACTGCGGACTGTGGTGAGGGGTGGATACTTCGGAGTGCCGTGGAGCACTTATGGAAGAATATTACAAGCTTAGGTCTTTAAACATTCAGTTCAGGTCAGGGCCAGAGAACCAGTGAGCTTTCCTCACCGCCTTAAACGAATCTCCTGTCTCTGAGGCAGGGCTGAAGTAGCTGAATATTAAACATTCCTTTGTGCCGTTGCAGAGTTGCAACATTAGTTGAATTCATAACCTCTCTCATGTGAAATGACATTGCTAGAGAAAGAAGCTAAGGGTGGGATGTCTCTTTGGACTCAGGTGAAACAGGAAAACTCAATTTGCTAGTCACTCTGTGCCTGTGAGAAACAGTTTGCTTCCCTGTGTCTGAGGAACCTGGTCTTTCCTTGCTTGAAAACATGGTAATAATGTTAGCTGTGGCAGTTTCCATTCTCCTCAAGACTCAGCCAACTGCATGCTGTCTGCCCCACTTGCTACCAGTCAACCCATCACTAGGATCTCATCCTACTCTGACAAAGCACGAACTCCTAGCTGAAGAAGAAATGCTTATATGCCAGAAGAACTACAAGGCTTTGCTGATAAAGGGAAAAGCCTAGGAAATACTGTGGAACTATGTTCTAGGAAGGTGAGATGAAGGACAGACTATAACAATAGCTTTGGCCAAATGGACTGGTTTGGGGCACTTACATATTCAGGATCTGATGTGTTAACACATACAGCAGGACATGGCTCCAGAGCTGTTAGCTACAACCTACTGGTGGCCTACTTGTAATGAAGCTTCCCTGGCATTATGTGGAGGGAATCCAAAGGCTTAGGGAGATAAGAGTGTTGGATTAAACATATCTTGTGTGACCTGCATACCACCCCTCACCTCTAGCTACTCAGCTTCTACCCTGGGAAGGCCAGATGAAAACAACATCTAATATTCCATAATTTCTGAGGGTCATGACTGGTTTAGCAGGGTAGCTATGGCTCAAGGTCTTTGATGAAGCTCCAGTCAAGATGTTGGCTGAGAATCCTTTACCTACAGGCTTGCCTGGGACAGAATGATCTGTTTCTAAGATGGCTCACTCGTGTTCTTGGCAGGCGGCCTCAGTTAGTTGCCCCATGAACCTCTCCTTAGCAGTTTGAGTGTCTTCACGTCATGGCAGCTGGCTTCTCCAGAGCAGTGAGCTAAGAAGAGAAAGGAGGAGGTGGAAAAGCCACAATGTCATGGCCTCGCCTTAAAAGTGAGGTTGTATTCTATTGATCACATAGATCAACTGTGACACATGTTGGAGGAGACTGCAAGGGCAGGACTGTCAGAGGCAGGAACCACTGGGAACTGTGTTGAAAGCTGGCTATCACAGCAGCTTTGCCTTCCACCAACCAAACTGGCCACCTTCCTTCTCCATAGATACTTGTCAGGCTTCTGGGGGCAAGGCTCAGAGAGCAAATTCAAGGTTGGCTTTGTGGAGATTTGGTTTCTGGATCTTTGGACAGTGTTGAAGTGATGGGCTAAAAACCGTATGAAGAACCTCAGAGAAATTAATACTGTGTGTTTTTCTCCCGGCATTGAAGGTCACAGTAGGACCATGGATCTGTTTGGAGACATAGATGACATTTCTTCAGAGAGCGATGGGGACAGTGAACAATCTATTCCAGGGCAGCCTGCTGTGAGTATAATCACTAACCTCAACAGGTCCCATTGCTCGAATTAAAAAGAAAGCTTCAAAAGCTGAAGTGTCTGGTTTCTATGGAGAAAGGATATTGATAATTGAGTAGTGGTCTGAAACACCTGAGGAATGGGTGACTTTCTCAGTTATGTTGGGAATTGTGGATATTTGCAGGTACAGAAAGAATTGCTCAGAATGAGGTTGATGCCAAACTTTGGGGCTAAACTGTGAAGACTCATAATTTGAAAACCTTTAAGTTTTTCTTTTCTTTCCTTTATTCATTTATTTATTTACTTTAAAAGATTTTATTTATTTATTTGAGAGAGAGAGATAGAGAGAGTGAGAGAGAGCATGAGCAGGGAGGAGAGGAAGAAGCAGACTCCCTGCTGAGCAGGGAGCCTGATGCGGGGCTTGATCCCAGAACCTTGGGATCACGACCTGAGCTGAAGGCAGAGGCTTAACGACTGAGCCACCCAGGGTGCCCCTTGATTTTAAGTTTTCCTTTCCTTTCCTTTCCTTTCCTTTCCTTTCCTTTCCTTTCCTTTCCTTTCCTTTCCTTTCCTTTTCTTTTCCTTTCTTTTCTTTTCTTTCTTTCTTTTTCTTTCTTTTTTTTTTTTTTAAGATTTTAAAGATTTTATTTATTTGTCAGAGACCTAGAGGGAGAGAAAGAGAAAACAAGCAGGGGGAGGGGCAAGCAGAAGAAGCAGGCTCCCTGCTGAGCAAGGATCCTGGGATCATGACCTGAGCCTAAGGAAGACGCTTAACGAAATGAGCCACCCAGGCATCTCTGATTTAAGTTTTTCCTAACACAAACCTGTGCCAGAAAGCATGTGCTATTTAACTTTCTTCTCTGATCTTAAAGTTACTTCGTACTGGGGGATTGTACATCTTCACAGTTCTGTCATTTAATGTCTTATGCAAACCAGATATGTCGACAAAATTGATATTTTTTCTAGTAATGCAGGCTAACAGATATTGTTTCCCATGGTGATATTTTTGGGGGAGAGGATGAAATCTTAGGGAGAGGCCTGGAGGGGTTGCTAACTCTTTTGTTTCTGAAGTGGTATCTGAATTTATTTTCAGTCACATCTGTATCTCCTAGTACTCTAGAAGAGCTAGAGCATTTTCAGTTTCACTTCAAGCTCTCACATCCTGATTCCTCTCTTAGGATGAACGTGGAGTGCCTCAGGACCAACAGGAGGAAGAGCGGATTTCTGAAACCAGAATAGAAGTAGAAATCCCCAGTATCAACTCTGATCTAGGAAATGAATTATACTTTGTTAAACTACCTAAATTTCTCAGCATAGAACCCAAGTAAGAGGACTGATTAAAGTTTTTTTTTTCAAAATATTAATTTAAAATATGTGCAATGTAAATGTTTTTTCTTATCATAAGTTGGGTAGTTATAAAGATAGGAGATTCCTCATATACCTCTGGAAAAGTAAATTTAGGATGTGCTGTGGTAAAAAATGATGAGTTACTGCTGTGAGATTTTATTTTATTTTATTTTTAAAGCTTTTATTTTATTAAGATTTTATTTATTTATTTGTCAGAGAGTGAGCGAGCACAAGCAGGGGGAGCAGCAGGCAAAAAGAGAAGCAGGCTCCCTGCTGAGCAGGGACCCTGATGCAGGTCTCCATCCCAGGACTCTGGGAACATGACCTGAGCCGAAGGCAGATGCTTAACCGACTGAGCCCCACCCAGGTGTCCCTAAAGATTTTATTTATTTATTAGAGAGTGCACCAGAGAGGGGAGGGTCAGAGGGAGAAGCAGACTCCCTGATGAGTGGGGAGCCTGATTCGGTACTTAATCCTGGGACCTCGGGATTAGTACCTGAGCTGAAAGCAGATGCCTGACCAACTGACTCAGACACCCAGGTGTCCCTCATGTGAGAATTCTAATGTGAATGATTCTTCTAGCATTTAGCACTTACAAATAAACCAACATGACAGCTGACAAAGGTGTTTTTCACTAGTGTAAAGCTGAAAAATCAGAAAATGAGGTAGAGGAAGTTTGCTAGAGAAATCATAAATGTTCAGTGCAAAAGCCACTATGACTTGAAGAGAAAATGATTTTGGACAACAAAATAGTATTGATGGGTATTTTTTGTGAAGGTTCATGTGTATAAGCTCTTGAGTAATCAGCAGGATACTTTTCTTTAAAAAAAAAAAAGTAGAAAGATAAGACCATGTCGTATTTATATTTTAGAAGACCTATTTCCTCAAACAAGGCTTGGAATTGTTAGTCACACTTGGATTTTATTTCTGATATTTTAAAATCAGATTTCAAGAACGTACACTAATTTTCATACTTTCTTGAAATACTACGTGAAGTTGTCTCTGTGACTTTTAACATATTGGTGCATGTTGTAAAGATTATTTTATAAGCAATAATATTCGTTACAAAAATGGCTAACATGAGATTAAAAAACGGTTTTTAGACCTTTCGATCCTCAGTATTACGAAGATGAATTTGAAGGTGAGAAAGTGCTTGACGAGGAAGATAGAACCAGGTTAAGATTAAAGGTACTATTCTATACTTGATTCCTTTTTCTTTTTCTTTTCAAGTTTTTTGTTAAGTAAAACAGATAATTATTTGAGACGAGATTATGAAATGATCTTTTATGTTTACTCTTTAGAACAAGGACTGAAATGTCTTTTGAGAATATTTTTAGGGGAGAAGTTACATAACCTTTTTTAAAAATCCCTGTAATTCTCACTTTTCTAACCTTTTTCTCCCAGTTACAATTTTTCATTGGAAGTAATGATAAAAATTCTTGAAAATTGTTAGCTACTTCCTTTAGGATAAGTATTTTTAGGTATATGAACTGCCTCTGCATTTTATAGTGGGTAGGTCCTTGCAGCTTCCTCAGTAGCATTCTCTGGGGCTCTCTATGGGATTCCGACTACGCACAAAGAGAGGCCTTGTCTGCAGGCGCTTCCTCTCAAGAAGACCTGGGATGGCAGGACACTGTGGTGTTCTCACAGGGCTCTTGTCTTCTTGCTTCGGGTGGAGATGAGCTTCTGTTGGGGGCAGAACCAATTTTTATGCTACCTTTGTGATTTGGAGTTGCCTCCTATATGGGTAGGACACATTTGAACTAAAAAACAGGGTAGCATTCTCTGGGGCTCTCTATGGGATTCCGACTACACACAAAGAGAGGCCTTATCTGAACTAAAAAACAGGGCAAAGTGGAAGTCTCAAGTTGAAATTGTTGATTTCTTAACTTTATATTCTTTTATCTTTTAATTTTTCATTTAATGCCCAGGACTTCCCTGTCGTACTAGGTCAGGCTTACTAGTCCCTCTTTTGTTGGGTTCACAGCCCTTCAGGTGTACTTGCGGTAGGCACAGGTCTCCATTTTAACTCTCTGTCCCATGTGGACCCAAAGCCTCACCCTCGCTTCTTTGGAGCTCCTGGTGTGTGTGGTAATCCCTCCATCCTGTGTGATACTTGGATTCTGCTTCCACTGCCATGAGCTTGCAAAAGATTTAAACAAAATAGTTTAACCAATATCTCTCGGTATTTGTAGCGGGAGGGTTTCAGCGTTGCCTAATGCACTAGTTCTCTTGTGAGCTTCCTTAGCACTACATACCAACTCTTGGCACATGATTGTAAGTCACTGGAGGGAAAAAGAACACGCAGTTGTTACCTTGGTTTTCTAATGCCTTTGTGTTTTGAACCAGGTAGAAAATACGATAAGATGGAGGAAACGCCGGGACGAGGAAGGAAATGAAATTAAGGAAAGCAACGCTCGGGTGGTCAAGTGGTCAGATGGGAGGTGAGCCCATGATGCCCGGAGGGCCCTGGAAGACCCAGAGAGATACCTGGGAAGAACGGGGTTCTCTGTGCAGGACCTTACTTTGGGGCCATCTTCCATGAAAGAATTAAACAAATCTAGGCCTCGGAGATGACACCTTAGAAGTGGGCCCAGGGTGTGATCAGATTCATGGTAGCAGCCTTCTGGGGGGAAAGCCTAATGCTAGCTCACTTACAGGAGCTACTATTGGGCAGTACACACTGGTATTTTGGGAACAAAGTGTTTCTGTCTTATGAAGTGGTAGAGATTGGGAAAATGATAGAATAATTATATTTCAAGTTGAAGGATGAATTTTTACCACCTTTGGCTTTAAAAGGGAATACGTTATTTACAGCACCTCTGTTTTTCTCATGAATTCAGGACACGGTTCCACAGCATTTTAAGTAAAGCCTATAGGGGAGAATGGAAACTGTGGGCTTTGTCGAATGTCCACCCCAGTCTGAACGGTTTCTCGTTTGCAGCCTCTCCCTGCATCTAGGCAGTGAAGTGTTTGATGTCTACAAAGCCCCAGTGCAGGGCAACCACAACCACCTGTTCGTTCGAGAAGACACTGGTCTACGGGGACAAGCTGTGTTTAAATCCAAGCTCACCTTTAGGTAACTGTTCATGCTGACCAGTTGTTACTGGTAGTTAACGAGCAGCAAGGCGGAGAGTCGTGCAGAAAGCCTGACTCCGCTCTGACAGACATGATTTCAAGGTGCAGCTCACCAGGCGCGTGGTTTGGTTCACCTCTACCCCAGATCGCTGTTTCTCAGGGAGCCAGTCCACGCTGTCAAAACCAACCCAAGACCCCCGTATAAACCAAAAGACCAGTGAATGAATTCACGTTGGTCAGTGCACCTGATAGGAGGCCTAGGAGACTGGTCTTCGGTGCTCAGCTGGCCCATGTCCTTTGCCTTCCATGGAATTTAGCTGGGAGGCTGGCCAAGCATGAGCCTTCTGTTGATGTGTGCACACGGTAGAGAAAAGGGCGAGATGACCACGGGGGCTGCGGCTCGACCCCAAGCCGATGGGTGCTCCATATCCAGCCTTTTCACTGGATGCTACCGGCTCCGTTCCTGCACACACCTTCCCCTAAGGACCCCGTGCTGTTGTCCTTCATGCCGCTCTCCTCCAAGTGGGGCATTTAGCCAACTAACAGTGTGCACAAGGTTTCTTTTTGAGGTCATGGAAATGTTCTAAAATCAGATTGTAGGGGTGCCTGGGTGGCTCAGTTGGTAAAGCGTCTGCCTTCGGCTCAGGTCATGATGGTCAGGTTCTGGGATCAAGTCCCTTGTAGGAGTCCCTGCTCAGCGGGGAGCCACCTTCTCCCTCTCCTTCTATTCTTCCCACCCCAACTTGTGTTCTCCCTCTTGCTCTCAAGTAAATAAATGAAACCTATATAAATAAATAAATCAGATTGTACTAATGGTCACACAACTTTATAATTTATTTTTTAAGAAATTGATTTATTTGAGAGAGAGAAAGAGCACAAGCAGGGGGAGTGGCAGGCAGAGGAAGAGGGAGAAACAGGATCCCCACTGAGCATGGAGCCCAATGTGGGGCTCGACCCCAGGATGCTGGGATCGATGAGTTGAGCCTACGGTAGAAGCTTAACTGACTGAGCCACCCAAGCGCCCCTCACTCTAGTTTTTAGTTTCCTTATCTATAAAATGGAGATAATATTGACTTCACAGGGATGAGTGTCAGTTAAGTCAAGTAATACGTACGATGTCATGCAGTGCAGAGACCTGGTGTAATAAATGCTGTTCAAATCCAGCCTCTTCCTGAGCTTTCTCGAATGGAGGTGTAAGAGACAAAGGATTCTATGGCTTGCTTTTTTTCCATTGTGCTCGGTGTTTCACATACCATATGTCCCATCTCCCTCCAGTCTCAGGGACGCTCTCCTAAGGATCTCCCTTTCTTCTTTCTGATATGATGTACTGCTTTCTGCACCAGGGACTCCTAGTCCAGTGCTGTCCTGAGGCCTTCTTGCTTTGATCTTCCTTCTAATCATATTCAGATGGAGGGACGCCTGTTTCATTCTTGAATCACGACTTCTGGCCTCTGCACCACCCTTACGGAACTGAGATTTCCTGTCCCTTCTTTTCTCTCTGAATGTCGTCCGGGGCAGGTTGCGGGGTGGGGGTGGGGGGTTGGGGTGGGGTTGTTTCTTTGGAAAAGCCTTTGACCTTACGTCCTGCTCTCCTCCTTCCTCCACTTGCACTTCGCCCCATCAGCATTCCCTGGAAATGGGACAGAGGGAGGAAGCAGAGAGTGAGGAGGCTCAGAGTGCCAGGACCCGTGGCCTGGCCTCCCCCTCCACTGAAGGGGTAGTGGTCACTGTCTGTGGCTCTGTGCACTGATATCGCCTCTGACTGTTCTTAGTCTACAGTGAGGCATTCTTGTCTCCCAGCAGGCCTCACTCTACAGACTGTGCCACACACAGGAAGATGACCCTGCCGCTTGAGAAGAGATGCTCGAAGACCCAGAGGATTAGAATCTTACCAATGGCTGGCCGTGACCCTGAATGCCAGCGCACAGAGATGATTAAAGTACGTCGGTTAAGCTTTATCCTGGGATTTTTTGGGTATTAAGAGCTGTACTTTCCAGAATATTAATTCACAGTTTTGTGTGGCCACAACCATTTTATCTTGCTCCTATCAGGGAGCCAGCTTCAACCCAAGCGTGGCATGTCAGGGCCACTGGTAAGATACAGCAAACCAGACACTCGTGTTCTCTGATCAGTTTATGAGATTTCAGGGGAAATCTGATAATTTAGAAAATGTAACCTTTGACAGTTATCATAAAACTTTGTTAGCCAGATAGCTAGGAAGGTCAAAAAGACGTTCCTGACTCTCTCGACACCAGCTCTGCCTTGTGAACACCAGTGTGTGGACGGCCAGGCAGAGGACGGTGCGACTGTTCTGCTTTGGGGCTCAGGGATCCTCCCCGACCAGCGCCTCCCCGTCCTGTCATCAGGAGCTGTGGGGAAGCTCTCTGGCGGGGAGGGGCCCAGACAGGACCATCTGCGCACCACTGTAGTTCGGTGGAGCCCGAGCACGCCGGGTGTCTGTCTCGGGTCAGCAGACACAGCCTCCCTCGGGTGTCCACTGGGCTGAGGTTCCTCAGGCGGCTCGCTGCTCTCTGGGCTCTGCCTGGCAGCACGGGGGACGCTGCAGCTCCCGAGGCCACGTGTGTGCCGGATCTGATTGGGTGGTTAGCACGAGGGGGCCTTCTGCCCCTTCACCCTGTGATGCCTGCACACCTGGAACTCAACTGCACTGAGTGATCGCTGGGTGAGGTAACGGGTGTGGCATGGGGAGGCCTGTTTTCTGAAGACAAGAAATGTAAATCTAAGTTCAAGTGGGCAGAAAGGTAGTTCATTTTTTCAGTTAAAAAGGTTTGCTTCTTTACAGAAAGAAGAACGATTGAGGGCTTCTACTCACGAGACAATCCATCTGTGGGAGAAGCAGAACCAGCAGGGGCCGAGTGTCCCCTGCCAGGATCCCAGCAGTGCCGGTGAGGAGGAGGAGGAAGGCGCTGAAGCCATTAAAAACCATTACCAAGGGGAGCTCCAAGGTTAGCTGGGCATGGAGGTAACATGTCTTCTGAGGGCTGCAGAGGTTGGTGGGCTTTTATTCCCTGTCCCGCTGGGATTTAGTGAGGATAGCAGTACAGAGGACTTGTATTTTTACTGTTTTTCTTAGGGCCATTTTCCCACAGAAAAGCTTAGCTAGGAAAATAAGGCACCCCCAAAATAAAACAATTACATAATTTTTGTCCTTGTGGAGGAAAACATGTAATGAGCGGTTTGCCTTCTTGTGTAATTGATGCGGTATTTAAATGTTGTAGTTTTTTGTTTGGTTTGGTTTAAAGATTTTATTTATTTATTTGACAGAGATCACAAGTAGGCAGAGAGGCAGGCGGCGGGGGGGGGGAAGCAGGCTCCCCGCTGAGCAGAGAGCTGGATATGGGGCTCAATCCCAGGATTCTGAGATCATGACCTGAGCCCAAGGTAGAGGCTTAACCTACTGAGCCACCCAGGCGCCCCTAAACTTTGTAGTTTTTAATATGTGCATAAAACCTGTTGGGTGTTTAAAAGTGATGACTCTCTCAGAACAAAACCTCTCAAATTGAAGTCATTTAAGCATGTCTGAAAGTTATATATACCTTCTCATCAAAATTTTAAGAATGTTGGGGGCACCTGGGTGGCTCATTCCATTGTCTGCCTTCAGCTCAGGTTATGATCCCGGGGTCCTTGGATCGAGGCCCTTGTTGGGCTTCCTGCCGGGTGGGTGGCCAGCTTCTCCCTCTCCCCACTCATGCTCTCTTCTCTCTATCTCTCAAATAAATAAAATTGTAAAACACTACAACAACAAAACAAAAAGAAGAAAACTACAGAAAACTACAGGCTTTAAAAGAAGTTAAATACTGAGGAAGCAGGGGAACATATTTCAAGTAATATGACTGGAATGTCAGCCAGTGTAGAGTGAGGAGGAAGTGTCCCTCCTTCCCTGATCGTTGCCCAAGAGAAGCCCTGATCTGTGGGGCCCAACCGGCTAGTGTCTGTGGACATGGGTTGCTGCTTTGGGGTGGTCTTCTAATGTGTAGGGCTGGCTTCCCCATCAGCTCAGAACCACTTTATTTTTTAATTTAATTTTTTTTTTAAAGATTTTATTTATTTATTTGACAGACAGAGATCACAAGTAGGCAGAGAGGCAGCCAGAGAGAGAGGAGGAAGCAGGCTCCCTGCAGAGCGGAGAGCCTGATGTGGGGCTCGATCCCAGGACCCTGGGATCATGACCTGAGCCGAAGGCAGAGGCTTAACCCACTGAGCTACCCAGGTGCCCCTAATTTTAATTTTTAAAAAAAGATTTTATTTATTCATGAGAGGCGGAGGGAGAAGCAGGCTCCCGGCTGAGCAGGGAGTCCAATGCGGGGCTTGATCCCAGAACCCTGGGATCATGACCTGAGCCGAAGTCAGACGCTTAATGACTGAGCCACCCAGAAGCCCCGACTGACTTGCAAATATTGAACCTCCACTTGGTCAGTTGGTGAATGATTTTTTTTAAAATACATTTTTGGATTCAGTTTGCTAGTATTTTATTGAGGATAGCTCAAACAATGGTAGACAAAATTTCTAGAAACATTCAATATTGAATTTTTACATCTTCCCTTTCGTATCTGTTCAGGAGATGAGGCCTCTGGAAAGAGGAAAGTGGGGGGTGAAGAGGAAGAAAGTGACTAAAGTATAAAACGTTGCCCTCAAGTATACATTGTACTGACCTTTGAGGAATACAGGTTTGAACTGCGCGGGTCCACTTACAGCTTTTTTTTTTTTTATAAATATGGTACGGTGCTGTAATGTATTTTCTCTTCCTTTTGGTTTTCACAAATTTTCTCTAGCTTGTTTTATTATAAGAATATATAATACATTTAACAAGCAAAATATGTATCAACTGTGTTATCAGTAAGGCTTCTGGTCAGCAGTAAACGATGAGCAGTTAAGTTTCTGGGGAGGTAAAAGTTATTCTTGGCTTTTCGACTGTGCAGAGAATTGGCACTCCTAAACCCATTATTCAACAGACAGCTGTATATTGTTTCCAACAGTTTGTTTTAAAGCAATCATAACATGACTTGTTTTGGTTGAAATGATGAATTGAATCGCTTTTGCATAATCCTAGTTGTGAATAAAAAATGTTCAGAAGCAAGTCTGTGACTTCGGAAAATCCATTTTCCCCTAACTATTCTGGGTCTTGGGTTTTTGTGCATTTTGGCTGCTCTGCCCCACCTCATCCTCCCTGCTGGGTCCCGAGGTGGGCTTTGGAAATGCAAGTCAGGTATCGCCTCTTCAGGATGTCCTCCTGTCCTGCTTAGCTGGGTCTGCGGCCCATCTGTGGATTGTCGTTTATTTCCATAGGTATGGCACAAACTTTCTGTTGACCACATGGCCCTGTGGTCTTGTCAGAGCAGGCACACCACTGGACGCCGAGTGCTTTGCCAAGCACCATGCTGGCCCTACCAGTTCTAATCCTCAGAATAACCAGGAGGCAGATATTGTTAGTCCCACTTTACAGACTTGGAAGCTGAGGTTTAAAGAACTTTAAGACTATCCAGGGACACATTGGTGGCTCAGTTGGTTAAGTCTCTGCCTTCGGCTCAGGTCATGATCTCAGGGTAGTGGGTTCAAGCCCCGTGTTGGGCTCTGCACTCAGTGTGGAGCCTGCTTGTGACTCTCCCTCTGCCCCTCCCTCCTGCTTGCATGCTCTCTCAAGTAAATAAAATCTTTATTAAAAGAAATACCTCTATCCAAAGTTTTTTCCTCCCAAGTAAAAAAATAAGCACTTTTAAAGAAGTTTTTATTGATTTATTTGGCAGAGTGAGAGGGAGAAGCAGGCTCCCTGCTGAGCAGAGAGCCTGATGCGGGGCTCGATCCTAGGATCCCGGAATCATGACCTGAGCCAAAGGCAGAGGCTTAACCGAAGGAGCCCCCCGGGTGCCCTGGAAAGCTTCACATTTGAAGGACAAAAGATGTTTGGTGATATTGGACCCACATATGGTTGGCCACCCTCATTTGGTCCCTAAAAGAGCAGGGGCAACTCTGCTGGACATGAGGACTCTGTCTCCCCTGGGCCACTCAGACTCATGGGAGCTGGAGGTGCCAGATGGTACAAGGGCCTGAGCCTCCTGATTTCCAAAGAGGACAGGCGTCCAGACCTGCAGGAGAGAGTGAGCCCAACAGCCATCCCTGGGAGGCCAGCCAACATTAAAGATGCAACGGGAAGGTCTTCATTCCCCTGTTTCAGAATTCTGAAATTTTTAAATTATCTGACACTTATCCCTAAAAGATTGCTCAAACCCATTAGAACACATTTCACAGATTTTCTCTTTTGCTTGGTGGATTTGGGTGACTGGTAAGAGAGTGCTTTGCTGTAAAAATCATCTTTAGTTTATTGGTAGGATTGGCTCAGAGTCAGGTCAGTAAGACTGTTTCTTCCCTTTTGTCAATTCACTTTTATGGCCAGACCAAGTACTGAAGGTATTTCAACAATAGGAAATTATTATTTTTAAGTGTAAAGATGGTCAAGTATTGACAATTTTATATGGCTTAATGTAACAGACTGGGATAGAATAACTACAGGAAATAAGCTTGTCCCTGAAGGGTTATGTTAGAAAGTTTAGAACATAAGAACTAATGGGAAATTTCAAGAAGTTCAAGTCTATAGAATTTTTGATAAACTTTATTGAAATTATTTCAGTATGATGAAAGTTCTAAATGCCTATAGTACATAATCTTCAAAAGAAACTTCACTGTTATGAATCAAGCTTTATTTATCAGTATATTTAATATAAGTAATATTTGAGTAACAAGACTTATGGAGCTAAATTCTAATGCAGAATAGAAGGACCAAATTACAATGATGTAAAAATATAAACTCTGCTTATAAATACATTTTCTGAATTTAAAAATAGTGAAGCATTTCTTTGGTAAGCAAGTCTTACAGTGAGAATGATCTAGAAAGATGACCTGTCAGAGCTGACAGTGAAGACAGTTTGATAGATGGTTAGATCCAAGAACTCAAACCCTTGTCCAAGGGCAACAGGAGTGGTTCTGGTACATTGTGTATTTGGTTCCCATGGGATCCTTGTGTTCAGCTAATACTATGCACAAGTGAAGTGGCCGTCAAGGCATTACACTAAGTGAACTAAGCCAGAGAAAGACAAATACTGTATGATCTCATTTATTTGACTATTTAAAAATACTGACCTCAGGCCTAGAATAGCCTGGTGGTTGCCCGAGGCAGGGGTGGGGCATGGAAGACACCGTGGAGGTGGTCAGAGCTAGAAGCTTGATGAACAAACCCTAAACCCTGAGGACAGCATGGTGACCCCAGTTAACGATGCCGTATTACAGATCTGGAAAGTTGCTGAGAGTAGATCCTATAAGTTCTCACCGCAGGAAGAATCATCGTTTCTAACTGCGTGAGGGATGGATGTTAACTAAACTTGGGGTAGATATTTCGCGATATATACGTATGTCACATCATGTTACCTACCTTCAGCTAATACAGTTATATGTTAATTATATCAGTAATATTAGAAAAACGTTGTTTGGAAAGAGTGAAGGGGCGCTGTGATGAAGGGGCGAAGGGCCAAGACTGAACTCGCAGAGTATGGCAGCTGCTGGGGATCCGGGAGAGCGTATCACCCTCCGTCCGTGGGGAGGTGCCTGTGTGTCCTGACACCAAAAGGTAAGGGCAAGGGAGATGTGCCCTGTGAGTACAGAACCCAAAATAGCAGATTTTATGACGCCTCATCAATCTCATCTTATTTTAATGGCAGCAAGGATTAAATAAAATGCACAACAGAACATGACTAACATTTTATCAAAGCATTTTTCTAATTTTTATTATACCATGGAATCCCCTTTTTCAGTGAAAATACATCAGATACTGTCAAAGAAAAAACAATTTACAAAGTTGTATTTACATTAACTTTTCCAGAGTGCACCTACTGCACAAAATGAGCGTGTGGGTTACTTCATTCAAATAACAGGAATTGGCAATTTAATGAGATAATTCTCCTTGAGCTCTCTAACAATCGGCTGGGTTTTTTTTAAACACAGAATGTTTATTTGGTCTTCTAAATGACAGGCACCCTTACGAAATGTATTTTATGTATACTTAAGACTTCTACTAGATTTAAGCTAAAAGTTTATAGCACCAAAATGCATTTTAATATCAGTATTAATATTGCTTTTTTCAATACATACAATTTCATGTAGACATACTTGCAAAATCAACTTCAGACAAATATGAATGTAAAATTGTACAAAATGGGAAATTAAAAGATTTTAAAAAAGCAATTTAAAAGTGTAAAGAGTATTCTTTGATTTGATAACCAGATATGTTTAAATTGGTTAGCCTATAGAATGTTTTAAGGTCTTACAAAATCTTTGGTTTAAAAATTAAGACTATTTCAGAACCCTAATACACATTTATTTATTTATTTGACAGAGAAATCACAAGTAGGCAGAGAGGCAGGCAGAGAGAGGGGGAAGCAGGCTCCCGGCTGAGGGGCTCGATCCCAGGACCCTGGGATCATGACCTGAGCTGAAGGCAGAGGCTTTAACCCACTGAGCCACCCAGGCGCCCCATATTACAACATTTTAAAGCTATGTAGAAATACTGTAAGTTACTAAATGGTTAAGAGGTGCCAGAATCTTAAAGATCAAAGTAAATATCACTTTTCTCCCTTATAATTCTTCATTTTCTGTATTCAATTGGATAAATGGTCATCTTTAAAGATAATTATGAAAAAATGTTTTAACTTCTTAACGAACTGTTATGGTACAAGCAAAACACTGCTTCATACTTCGGTAAGTCATAATTGAAAAAGATATTACCCATAAGTACGATATACATACTAGGTAGGGCCCCACCAACCTATATTTAAACAACATGTGGTAGAAGGGGTAACATAGTTCTCAGTTCACCGACTTCCAGCACAGTGCAAGCAAGGAGGCCTTGCTGTTAGCGTAGTGGCGACCCTTGCTGCGTGCTCGCTCCCCACCCTGTGGCAGGTGAGCAGTCTCTAGAATCGAGTATATCTCCAAAGCTGTGTATGAAGAGACAGAAATACTTGCTAACTTTAAAAAAGAGTATCAGTGGTTTCTAACTAAAAGGGAATAGTGCAAAGTCCATTTTTGGCCCCTTTGAAACACTGGATACTGACTCAGAAAAAAATAAAGACAACCAATTCTTACGAGGGAAGCATTCACCCGTGGAGAAGGCTTATCAGCAGACACGAGATGCCGCCTGGCTCATTAAAGTACACCGTCCAGCCCAAGCCAAAGGGGTGACACTTTGTAATTCAATTTCAAAAACTCTTCTTTAAAGAATCAACCTACCTATCCCCCACTCTTAAATGGGATTCTTCCCTTTATTCCCTGTAAGTGATGCAGCCAGGCCTGAATTCTGGTGTCAGGATACTCCCGATTTCTTCCTGCCTGTCTCTTGCAGCTGGGATGGCTCTGCCATCTTCTGCTCCAGGGGCTGCCCTGAAACAGCGCCGGAATCCAGGTCCGAATCCCGTCTCTCTGCCTGTGCAGGAGGCGGCCTGCACGAGTACACTGTTCACGTGATCATTTGAATGCTGTGAGCATGGGCAGTAGGAAGAAACTCTTCTCATGAGAGATTACTTTTACACAATGTGGACAAAACAGTATACGATGAAAGGAAACGTAATAAACATTAGCTTTATGAAGGACAGTATCCCTTACTGGCTGGACAGTTCCTAGCAAGCGTCACGAGGTGAGTCACGACCATCTCTGCGATCCTGCAGAGCACGCACAAATTCTCTCAATGCAGTGCTACAGCTAATGTCTGCTCAGGCCAGATGCTCCCTTACTTTAGAATAATCATCAGTTTCAGTGACCTTTTTGCATGTGCCTCAGACGCAAATTCCATCACGTTTATCATCTTTGATTTCACGTGTTTAATAACAGCCTTCTTTTTTCTTAAATAACCAAGAGCTGGCTCTTTTACAGAGCAGAAAACAGCTTGCCTATTTAGATGCTTTTGACTATGAGCTTTCACAAAATTTTAAGTTACACAAAAATTTAATTATGCCCAATTAAAATAAAAAACTATAATAAATTTAGACACAACTCTACTTTTGAACAAAGTACGTAACCCGGCCAAGCTGGTGACTGTGTTTAAATAAGTCTAGATGTTGCTGGCTCACACCCATCAGGCGGGTGCAGTGACCTGCAGGAGGCAGGAGGCCCCTTTCTCTCTCCCAGAGATGGGCTTGTACTCCTGAACAGAGGGCCAGGTTTTGAGTCCTCGGTTTAAAATTCTGGCATTTTGCTTTCTTGATAGAAACAGAAAGCACACTCTTGTCAAGTTCATGTATTCTAAAACAGGGAAAGGGCTCCATGCGATGGGATAAGGAAAGAAAGCTCTGATGAGGGTCTTGTACCTAACAGGTGCAAAGGCAATTCTTCTATTAGGTCCCTTTATGATTTAAAAAAGATTGGTCCTTAAACCGTTCATAGTATTCTACATAAATGATTTCCTAAACTTCTTTCACAATTGTACTTTTTAACTCGTGACTCCTCACAATCCATTTAATTAAGCTAAATTAAAATTGATTTTAGCAGAAAGAACAAATGTTCTAAAATACAAAATACCACCTACTATTGATTTTACAATTTGAAACTGTTAACAACATAAACTAGAAAAAAGATACATGTAGTTAAAAAAAAAAAAAAAAAAAAAAGATTTCCAGTCTCTTCCCTTCTACCCAGGAAAATCTTACATCTGACATCACCACCATGAGCTCCCAGTAACCTCTTCAAGTTTCCCAAAGATTGGATCTTGGTGGACTTAGGGGTGGTCTCCTTCGACTCGTCTTTTGCGAACTGTGAGAAAAAAAGAAAGTATGTTAAAAATCCCAGTTACTTTGTACAACGTTAATTGTAAGGAACAAGTTTCTGTACGATCCAGTTAGAGCTGTACAGAAATGAAATATCCATTTGTTGTTCATAAGCCATTAAAATAAATTCACATCCTTCATCACTGCCATGTGTTGAGAACTGAGGGGCTTGGGCATGCGAAGCACATGTCCTCCACTCTGCTGAGCCCCCACGGGAGCGGGGAAGTCTATAGCACTGCTCCACATTCACTTTCACGTCACTGCGCCCGTCTTATTTGTTATTTTTAAAAAACTGATACCTGTGGGCACCTGGGTGGCTCAGTGGGTTAAGCCCTCTGCCTTGGGCTCAGGTCATGATCTCAGGATCCTGGGATCGAGTCCCACGTCGGGCTCTCTGCTCAGCAGGGGGCCTGCTCCCCCTGCCTCCCGCCTTTGCCTGCCTCTCTGCCTACTTGTGATCTCTCTCTCTTTCTGTCAAATAAATAAAATCTTAAAAAAAAAAAAAACTGATACCTGTTACGACAATGACTTATAAATTACTATGTTAAATTCTGAAGTCACACTCAGCTGGGATTAGAACATATTAAAAATAACGACTTCCATGCTCTTCGGACAACCCATTTCCTTAGTTTGTGAAAGAACAAAAATATTTTTATCATTTTAAAGGTAAGTGACTTGGTACTGTTCTCCAAATTTTCCTTCTGCTGTCTCCTACAAAATCAACCGTGCTCTGACAAAACAACAAAATACGAAGTGATGCACGCCTCAGCCCCTAGTAATGTGGTGAGATCCTGTCTGGCGAACGTAATAAGCTCTGGCCACCAAAGTGATCAGTGAACTAGTGTAGTGGACGGAGCAAAAGAAAGGTGCGTACGTCTCAGGAACCCTCGGCTGCTTCACAGACTGGTGACCCCAAACTAGTAGGCCATACTCGGTGATGGTAGGCTAGGATCTTCAAGCAGACATTCAAATGATGTGCAAAAAAGCTTGTCCAGCCATTGGATGGGTGCTAGCTAGAAAGCAAAACCTGGGAGAACTGAAGTATCAAGCTCCCATGAGCATTCTTCTGCTAGCTGAGTACAACCCTTACTCTAATTTTAGTACATGTTAACAAAAAGCAAGTCTTGCATGTTTACTGAAATATTAAGGGGAAAAATCCGGGACTTAAGTCCTCAAGTACAAACCTGACTCATATATATAGATCTCTGAAAAATACAGAAACACTTTCTTGAAAGACAAGCCCAATTAACCCTTTTGGGTAGATTCTTTCCAAGTGAATGTTGAATTGCAGGAGGGTTTACATGTTATTGGCAGAGCATTTCAGATATTAAAATGCATGTCATAAGTAACACATGTAAAGGAGGTCTGTGACAGAAGGGAGCAGACCAAAAGGTTGGAAATGATGTGGTTAGCTGGCGTGAGGACAGTAATACGACACTCAGAGTTCACATAAATACTGCACGTGTGCTGTGGACCCTGTCGGCTGCTCGCAGGTAGGACACTTCGTAGCTGGAGAGATGGGAGTAGGTAGGATTATTTCAACAAACAGGAAACTATGAGAGGTAAGACATCAGAATCAACACTAAAGATCTGATACAGCCCCATGTGCAAGATGAAGAAAAACTAGATGCCTGGGGAGTGTATGTTTCAAATTTTGATCTTTGAGGTCTTTCTGGCAGCTACATGCCAGACTGCCGGTACGAGCACAGGGTCTTGATGCTTGCCGCCTTGACCTGTGTGCCAAGACCAAAACGTAGGTCTGGGAAATGAGCAGAGGGTGCTGGGAGCACTCATGGCAGAAGACGGGGCCAAGAACCAGGTCGGACTCTTCTTCCTTACTCAGTGCCTACTTGCTACCAGCAATTTCTCGGTTCAGCTGCTAGATGAGAGGCTCATAAATTTGGCCCTATTAATTCATTTTTTAAAAGGTTTTAGTTATTTGTCAGCACAAGCAGAGGGAGTGGCAGGCAGAGAGAGAAGCAGGCTCCCTGCTGCAGGGCTCGATCCCAGGACCCTGGGATCATGACCTGAGCCGAAGGCAGATACTCAACCGACTGAGCCACCCAGGTGTCCCACCTATTAATAATTTTTTGGCAATTTCTTTCTAAAACCCACTCCACTAACAGAAGTTCTCAATACTTTATGATCAACTACAAATAAATTCTAACCTCACATCCAATCTCTAGAAGAATAAAAAATATGGGTTTTTTTTTAAGTTCATTTTAATCAAGCATCCAATGGTCAATAATGGCTCTCAAATGCTCCTGCCAAAAAATCTGAAGAAACTAAGTTTCTTCCCATCTAATTTTAGTGCCTACTACCAGCACTGCCTTTTTATCTGCTGTGTTAGCTTCCAGAAGCAAGTACTTCTGCAAGTTTACTCTGGAGGCAGCAGCCAGCAATGAGAGTCCGTTTTTACAGTCTGCATGCTGTTCTCAGCATATAAATAACTACCTTGATCCCAAATGTGAGGTTTGATCCATGTACTTCCCCACTCCAGGAAAGTTCCTATTCTCATCTCATGTTTGAATCTCTGGCTTGGCTCAGAAAGAACGAGCACGAGGTTGGGGGGGGGGGGGCGTCTCCAGAGCTATCTACACAAAGCTGTTGCTTTCTCTCACTTCGGTTTCCCTTCAGACCACACCTTCAACATGGCCTCCGCCTCCTCTATTACACATGGCCGTGGACACCCACTCAGCGGCACAGTGTCAACATGAAGCAGCCCAGGAAGTATTTTGCATGTGTTCTCTCATCTTTTGGTATAGTGTTGATTCTCCATGTAATTAGCATGACTTTGCAAGTTACACTGAGAATCAACAGCACACCAAACACACCAAATTTCTAAAATGCAAGAGACTAAAATCTTCTGTGAGAAACGAAGTCATCAAGGGATAGACAGGGTTTGAACTAACACTCTTCACAGTAATTTGGGTTGAGAGAAGGAAGGTATAACTTCTTTGCTTTAGAAACCTTTAAAGAATGCAAACACAAATAGCTGAAGTTTAAAAGAACTGCATCACTTTGAAGTGTTACTTTCTTTAAGAAGTCTTACTTTAATTCTTGTCTAAACACATCTTTAAAAATATTTCAATGACAAACACCAAACTTAAAAGAAGAGTCAATTATTGGAAACATGTAGAAACAAAATTATAAGCATCATATTCTTTAATTCAGCCTTGGCTGGAAAAACTTATTTCAAACAGAAACATAAGCCTCAGCAGTATTTTCAGTAGGAGTATGCAGCAAGAAGACAAACTGCCCAGTAACGGTGTTCGGGAGGCCGGTGAGGACAGCAGACACTTACATGCCACATGCTATAAAACTTGGATCGAAACTATAAGCCATATTTTATATGTAAAAACGAATTTCTATGTAGGCCTGTTTGATAAAAAGGGCAAAAAAGTTTCCTGAAATGTTGAAATCTTTAATAGCTCCAAGAGGCAACTTGTAACTGAAAACAAAATTTTTGTTCCAAGATGCATTTATGTTTCTAGTAGAAAACTGTTAGCTTAAAGCTGTGAAATGTTCGTTTCAGGAGAATTTCACCCATGAACCCAGTAATCACTACAACTGTGCTTAAACTGAACTCTAATTCATTCAATATAAAAAGGGCAGTGCAGATTTTAAAAACAAAGGCCCAAAATTCCGTGTTGAAACTTACTGGAAAAAAAAGTCCCTCTAATACATTAGCTTAATGATACAATTCAGAAATTCGATTTGAAATGCATCTGTCTTACCCAAGTCATTGTTTTTTGTTATAGCATTAGCTGCCCTGGTCCGGGGTCCCTGCTGTGTAAACTGATATCCAAATTTAAGGATATTTGTATTTTCCTCAAGCATCTTGGCCATTTCCAATTCTACGGCTGTTCCCAACTGCTGCCTCTGGAATAATTAAAGAATAGTATTAATAAGTTAGATCAAAATACTTTTCAAGGTAAGTCAAGACTAAGACATTCAGGTAAATGCTGATTTTGCTGGTCTCTTTAAATTTTCCCAATTCTTACAACATACTTACACAGGAGAAACAACATTTTGAAGCTCAGTATATGTTTCTACAGACACCAAAAAACTGGATTGCCAGGAGATACCACTTCATACCCATTATTATGAGATGATTATAGTGTTGGCCAGAATGTGGGAAAATTGGGAAGCTCACAGATGCTGGTACAAGTGCGAAATGGTGCCGTTGCTGTGGAAAACAACTCGGCCATTCCTCAGAAAGTTAAACACAGAGTTACCGACCACATGACTTTGCAATTCCACTCCTAGGTATGTACCCATGAGAAATGAAAACCTATGTTCATATAAAAACTTGTATATGAACGTTCATATCAGCATCATTCCCAATATTTAAAAAGTAGAAACAACTCACATGTAATAGATTATTCAGGCATCAAAGAGAATAACTACCGATACATATCACAACATGGACGGACCTGCAGAATATTTCGCTAAGTGAAAGAAGGTAGACACAAAGACCGCATATTGTATCATTCCGTTTGTAGGCAAATGTGCAGAGACGGAAGGGTTAATGGTTGCCAGGGCGGGCGGGAAGGGTGATGAAAACGTTCTGAAATTAATGGCGATGGCTGCACAACTCTATGAATATGTTCAAACCCATACTCAGGATGTTAACATTCTGGATGCTTCAAATGTCCTCATCTCCTTTCAGGCCACCACCTACCCCAAATGCCCCCCTTCCACCTGCCTCCTGAGTCCCCAACCCCTCCACGGCTTCCTCAGTTACTGCTGTAGAACACTGACCTGATTGTCAATCTTGAGCTCGGCCAGGGTTTCATTATCTCTTAGAGCATCAATCAGGGCTAGAATCCCAACTCCTGTAATAAAGTTGGACTCTATATTTAAGCTCTTCAAATTTTTGTTTACTCTCAGCATATCTGCAAAAGCCTAGAAGTTATAAAGAAAATATTTAGAGATAAAAATTGACAGTACCCAGCATATATTCTACCTGCCGTAAACAAAATACATATATTCTACCTGCCGTAATTAGCAGAACTGCTCTGATGTTTCTCATTAGACTGTTTTAGGCTGACACACAACCTCATAGGCCTCATACCTATTTTTCACACATGCTCTGTCATGGTATTTAGATTTGTCACACGTAATCCTCTGTTGGTAATATTCTCTGATGCTTTTCACACTGTTATGTTCACTCCTACCCTACTCCCTCCTTTCTCCTGTCTCTCTCACACTTTCTCTCAGTTCCTGTGTAGGACTAACTTCATCAAGGTCTCTTTGGAACATCTTTTCTTACTTGGGTCCTACTGCAGCTGGTTTATTGTGTAGCAAAAATGAAGATAAATTATGGACTGATTTTTGAGGCTGAGATGGGAAGGGATGCCTAAGGCAGAAGGTGAGAAATGCTCACAGATTACCAGAACACAGAGTCAAGTTAAAAGGCAAAAGAGGACAGAGATACTAGAAAGAACTTGAGACAGGTATCTCTACGTGTATACGTTTCATTAGTGACAACTAGCTACGTGGAACAAATCCCTTATCCATTTGTATTGTACATACAATTGTACATACAAATGAAATGTGTATACATTTCTTCAAATATTACTGGTGGCTGATTATTTGATTAAGTACTGCTCTGAAGATTTAGAAATAGAACATACACGTTTCTGCCTGATGGAACTTATATTTTAGTGGGGAGCGAGTGGACAATAACCAAAATACAACGTTAGATAGTAAACAGAGCTACAGAGAAAGAAAATAGGGTAGACGGAGAGTGCTGGGGACAGGTGTGGTCAGGAAAGGCCTCACCAGGAAGGTGACGCTGGAGCAATGGCTCAAAGTGGTGACATAAAACAATGTGAGATATCATTTCACATCGATATTTCATGTTAAATATGAAAGGCGAAACAAGGCAGGAGAAACAAGAGGGAAGGCCTTGCATCAGAGGCATGCATCACACGTCTGAGGAAGAGTAAGAGGCTGTATGTCTATAGTTGAATGAAAGAAAGCGCAAGTAGTGGAGCCTGACTCTTGGTTTCAGCTCGGGTCTGATCTTGGGTCAGAAGATAAGCCCTGCATCAGACTCTGTGCTTAGCCGGGGATTCTTGCTTGAGATTCTCTCTTTCCCTCTCCTTCTGTCCTTTCCTCTCTCTCTCAAATAAATATTAAAAAGGAAAAAAATGGGGCAAGTAAAGGATTATAAGACTACTGAAGGATCATGATTTTTATTATTAGACAAATGGACTGAGCTGCTGAAGGGTTCTGAGTATAAGAATGAAGTAACTAGGGGCGCCTGGGTGGCTCAGTGGGTTAAGCCTCTGCCTTCCACTCGAGCCATGATCCCGGGATCCTGGGATTGAGCCCCACATCGGGCTCTCTGCTCAGCGGGGAGCTTGATTCCCCTCTCTCTGCCTACCTCTCTGCCTACTTGTGATCTCTGTCAAATAAGGAAATAAAACCTTAAAAAAAAAAGAATGAGGTAACTAAACAAGTTTTTAAAAGAACACTTTTGGGGGTATCCTGATGGCTCAGTCAGTTAAGCACTTGTCTTCGGCTTGTGTCATGATCCCAGGGTTGGGGGATTGAGCCCCGCATCAGGCTCCCTGCTTGGCAGGCAGTGTGCTTTTCTCTCCCTCTACCCTCCCGCCCCTATCCCAGATCGTGCTCTCTCACTCTGTCTCAAATAAATGAATCACTTTTGATGCTATGTAAAAAAGGCTGGCTTTGAGGGGCGCCTGGGTGGCTCAGTGGGTTAAGCCTCTGCCTTCAGCTCAGGTCATGATCCCAGGCTCCTGGGATCGAGCCCCGCATTGGGCTCTCTGCTCGGCAGGGAGCCTGCTTCCCCCTCGCTCTCTCTGTCCTGCTCTGCCTACTTGTGATCTCTCTGTGTCAAAGAAATAAATAAAATCTTTAAAAAAAAAAAAAAAAGGCTGGCTTTGAGGTGGGAAAGACAGACACAGGCAGCTCAGTGAGGAGGTGATCACAATAATCCAGATGAGAAGACGCTGAGTTAGACCAACCAACACGGTAGTTGAGAAAATGGTGAGAAATGGTTAGATTCTGGAATATTTGGAAGACAAGCTTGGATATGTATTTAAGGTTGTGAGAAAGGGAAGTCAAGGGTAACTCCATTTCCTTTTGTCTTGAGCAAATGAACGAATGAAGTTGTCATTTACTGAGACAGGAAAAAATGGTAGAGGAGCGGGTATGAGTGGAAGATAGGAGTTTGGGACCATATGGGATGCCTGTTAGACAGCCAAGCAAGGGGTTAAGGAGGTGGACATGAGCACATAGTTCAGGAGAGAGGTACGAACTGGGGATAACAATGCTGGGAGTCTGAAGCATACAGAGATAACACACAGCAATGAAACAGAGTGACATCATCCAGAAAGTGGACAAAGAAGACCTGGACTGAGCCCCAGGCCATTCAGATGCTTAGTGGTGGGGAAGATGAGGAGGAACCAGAGAAGGGACATCCAGTCAAGGGAGAGAGGAGAATCAAAGATAGTGATGTCCTCAAAGCGAAGTGCAGATAAAGGTTCATACCATGATCAAGTGGGATTAACCTCAGGAATGCAAGGTTGGCTTAACAGGCAAAAGTTAATCAATGAATATACCATATTAATAAAGGATAAAAACCACATGATCATCTCAATACACACATTAAAAGCATTTGACAAAATCCAGCACTGTAGGTCATAAATGGAATCCTCTGCAGATGTTAAAAGAATGGTGTTGAACTTTACGTAGTGATATGAAAGATCTCTAACGTATATTGTTCAGCAAAAAATAAGTTACAAAACAGTATATATTGCATGACTTCACTTACGGTTTTTAAAATTATAGGGAAGAAATACAGGAAAAAATAAACATAAAAGAGTAAATAATGTCTTGCCTAACAGTGAGCTAAACATCAACTGAAAAGAGAGTAAATCTTCATCATAAGATCGGTTGAGCCACTTCTGTACCATACCATAGTCACTATTTCACTACTATCAGTAGCAGCTTACTTACAACAGCGACGGGGTCATTGCTCCGTGTGGCTGCAAGACTGAAATGCTTCACGTGTGTGTTGGTTTCCAAAGCTTTTGCAAAATCTTTTAGAGTTGGAACTGGGATATTCTTGGAAGAAAATCATGTGAAATATGACATTTTAGTTTTTAAGAAATTCAGTCCATTAATCAAATGTGTTTGTACTTACTTTTTTTTCATTAAATGTACTCAGAAATTATACAAGGGGGTGGGGAGAAAAAAATTATATAAACAAAACATTTATTCTACAAAGGAAGTCAAACAGCCTCCGTCATAGTTACTTGATTTCTCTGTTATGGTACATTTGCACAAACTGCTGACCTAGAGGAGAGTATATATCATCATTACTCTAGCATCATTATTCTACTTAACTATTTGGATTATAAGACGCCAACACCTGAGTATTCAAAATGGATCCACTTTTCTACGAAGGAAGAGATGTCACTTAGTTTAAGCTATAATAAGAGAGATTAACCCTACACTACCTGAAATGTGGAAAGATACAGTTCTAGAAGGCACTGATTTCTCCCTTCATTACCAACACTACAATTCCCTGTAGCCTGGTTATTTCCAGATCATTACCTGTTGATTTAGTTATGTGAGGACTGAAGTTTTTAAAAATTAAAATTAGTGATCAACTAGGAATGTTAGCTTTTCTCAAGGCTTGCTTTCTTCAGCTCACAGGAAGGCACACCTGCTAAAGGAGCACAGAGGTCTTATTCCCTAGGTTCTTATAATTCCCAGATGCTCTCTCTCAGCCCTTATCAAGATTTAAATCAAGATTTAAACGACAAATCAAGATTTAAAATGAGGAATTCTTAAAAACAGAATAAAATTAAATGAGGGATTCTTAATGCAGTTATTATACAATGAACAATACTCAAGAGATAATCTGAATTTACTCTTTGGTAATTACTCATCCCTATGCCCTCCTAACTCATTTCTTCTTTACTCCAAGGAAGCACTGCATTTTTTTAAAAACTCCAGATCCCACATAGCCCACTGCAGTTTACTCCAGAGAAACGAAAACATATGTTCACATGTTCAGATGTGTTTAACAGCTTTATTATAATCATTCTAAACCAGAGGGAATCCATATGTCTATCAAGTAGGGAATGGATAAAAAAAAATTGTAGCATATTCATAAAACAGAATACTCTTCAACAAACTACTGACATACAAAACCACACAGATGAATCCCAGATGCATTATGCTAAGTGAAAGAAGCCAGACTCAAAGGCTCATACTATTTGATTCCACTCATAGGACATTCTGGGGAAGGCAAATGAAGGGAAAGAAAACAGAAACAAGTGGTCAGGGGCTACAGCTGAGGGCAGAGAATGACAATAAAAGGGACTGACATATTCCACATCTATGGTGGTGGCTGTACAACTTCTGCATTGGTCAAAACTCATCGAACTGTACACAGAATCGGCAGAATTTCAGTAGATAGCAGAATCTGGTTCAATACAAGGAATACCTCAAGAAACCGGATTTAAAAAAAAACAAACCCCGAAAGACTAAGTGCTCTTAGAAGTAGGCAGTACTTTGGAAGCCAGAAAGATTTATGCTGACAGTGTGTAGGGTTTACATTTTTATATGATACCTTTAAAAAAGCAAGTCAGAAAAATATTGTACTTTAATTTCTAAAATATAAAGGAATCTAAGCATACTGTTAGGAGCAAAGACTTTACCTTGCAGAACTATAAAATCACACTTTATCAAAACTGCCCAACTCTCATCCTAAATCTAACTTACTTAAAGCAAGTCAAAACTTTATTGTTTGCTTAGCACACATACCTTTATATTATTCAAATTAACTTCAATAAGATGAACATCATTTTCTTTAATTCTCTTTAAACTCTCTTCAACATTGGTTGGATTTGGTGGCTCATCAAATACTGGAAGAATCTTTTCACCTTTTACCACATCTGTAGGAACAAAAAGAACAAGAGTTTCACTGGCTGACATTATTACAGCGAATGCATTTATGAACTTAACGCAAACAACACACACGTACACGCATGTTCAGTACAACTAACCAGAAAATTTTCCCCCACAATTTCTAAAAGATCCTTCATGTGTTAACACACATTTAAAGCACTCAAATAAAATGCCATCCTCTCGTATCATCTTCTCTGAGATTTAACTGGTAATTACTATAAAGGCAGTACGAATCACAGACTTAAAGAAACACAGCCTCAGTGAGAAGAGTAAGGTGATGAAGGACACGTGACCTCTTTCTCTTATGGCAAGTACTGTGCATGGGAAAAAGGGAAGGATGAGTAGGAATAGGGAAGGGGGAGACAGACAGATAATGGTACACAGAAGAGTTCCTAAGACAGAAATCCCCCAAATTACTGCCCTCCTTCACTCCTATCCCCCAATCCTTCACCGTGTAAACCATATCCATATCCATGGCAAAAATACTACTAAGCAAAGCTGAAAGAGGACCCAGGAGCCTTGAATCCTCTAATGAGGTCTAAGTACACTTTGATGTGTATGTGAAGGTCTATGAACACATGTAACAAGCAAACATTTTAATGGATAAGTTTTCTGGGGAGAAAACCTATAGCATCAGATTCATGGCAAATGACCCAAAAAAGTTAACAGCAACTGACAGAAAGATTGACAGAAAGGGTCACTGTCTGGCTTAGTTCTTCCCTTCTGCCCTCCTCTAGCTTTTAGGAGCAAAACTCATCTTAAGATGAAGTACACTGGGGGCACCTGCGTGGCTCAGTCAGTTAAGCATCCGCCTTTAGCTCAGGTCATGATCCCAGGATCCTGGAATCAAGCCCCGCATCAGGCTCCCTGCTCAGTGGGGAGTCTGCTCCCTCTCCCTCTGCCCCTCCCTCTGCTCTTGGTTCTCTCTCAAATAATTAAAATCTTAAAAAAAAAAAAAAAAGCCAAAGTATACTGAACAAATTCCCTCTAAGAGTACCTTGTTCTTTTCAAATTTATTACACATATACACACATAGTATCATGAGATCAATTTAGATGATGGCCTGAAAATTATTTTCCTGAGGAAAGTGGAAAGATCTGGATATATCTGGCCTGGATGTATATATTAAAAGAAAGTATGCTCATTTTTTTTTTTCAGATTTATCCTATAGAAGAATAGAGAAATTTCAAGCTGTTCTGAAAGGCTAGGTTAGAACAGGTATAGACTGCCTGGAGGCAGAATTTGGTTCTATACAAGGATAAGCTTCCTCCCAGAGTTCTGCTAAAAGGACAGAGTGGGCTCCCTCTCACCTAAATTCAGCAAGGTAATCTTCTTCAAGATTGTAGATCAAGGGGGCTAGAGAAGAGCTTCCTCACTACAAAAAAAAACCTGAATGAGTTCTATCTCAATTCTGAATTTTACAAAACCAAAAGATTTCTTCCTCATTCCACAGAGTATGTGCATTTAAAGAGCACTGCTTCTGAATGAAGTAATGGATCCAGTAAATGGGATGCTGAAACCATTAAGAAAGGCTTATGGGAGACTTTAAGTGATGGATCAGGCAGGCTACTAACATTTCAACACACTGATGAATTTTGACATATTCCCCAAAGAGGAATGACTAGACTTGATAGGCTTCCTAATGAGATTTAATCACTAAGAAGCACTCTTGCCCCACCAAACCCTCCAAAACAAAACATTGTACCTGAATCTGAGTAAGCCACTAGAAAATAATAGTTTAGAGAAACATAGGAGACAGAGAAGTGAGTAAAAGGTTACCACAAGGGGAAGATGGTAGCAGAGTAGGAGGACCCTGGGTTCATTCTGTCCCACAAATAAGAACTAGGTAACTATCAAATCATCCTAAATACTCCAGAAATTGACCTGAAGACTGGCAGAACAGATTCCACAACTAAAGGCAGAGAACAGGCCACATCAAAGAAGGTAGGAAGTGTGGAGAGTTGGTCTGGGAGAGAAACAGATCATGGCCGCTGCAGTGGAGAGGAAGCCACAGTTGCAAAGGGTAAAAGACAGACTAGCACAAAGGGGAGTGCATGGGAAAAATGAATCCCCATAGCAACTGGCCTGGAAGTTAGAAGGGCCCTGAATTTCAGGAGTTCTTGCAACCAGGAAGGCTTAAAGGTTAGAGTTTTAAAGGTCAGTGTACTTGGCTGTGGGAGACCTCAGAGGACTTTGGGGCTGCTCTTGGAGGGAAAGCAAGCAAAGACTCTGTGGACATACAGCATGGAAACAGCAATCTGAAGAGTGCCTAGAGCACACAGTGGGGAGGTTAGCTGCTCATCTCGGAGTGTGACCCAGAGAAGCAGCACACAGGGAAACCTCTCAAGGAACAAAGGAATTGGCAGGTGCAATTTCCCTCCTCTGCCTCTCAGCATAAGCACAGGACCAAACACTCACTACCTAATTTGCTTACACCAAGTCCTGCCCCTTTGCTCTCTGGCAGATCGGCCCTGGCCTGCCACACTTGCCTCAATCCCAGCACAGCAGAACCCCTCGCCCAGAAGACCAGCCAAAATTCCTGCCAATACCAAGTCTCCTGACACACATGTTTTGCAAGACCTCAGTTCCAGTGATAGTGGTAAGAGGTTTCATTTCATAAGCAGATCAGAGCACATCTAGTTCAAATGTGCCACATTCAGGCAGGGACCAAATGCCCACAATAGGCAAAGAGAACCTCTGTAGACAACTGGCCTAGGATAAAGTGGCCAGACAAGGATAAAGTGGCCAGCACAGAATACCACGTCACACACGACACACACTGGAGACAATCCTAGAAGCACCAAGCCCTGGGGAACAGTGGACACACTACACGGTAGGGCACTACAAGTCTTTTTTTTTTTTTTTTAAATGATTTTATTTATTTACTTGACAGACAGCAAGAAAAGGAATACAAGCATGGGGAGTGAGAGAGGGAGAAGCAGGTTCCCCGCCGAGCAGAGAGTCCTACACCGGGCTTGATCCCAGGACCTCAGGATCACGACCAGAGCCGAAGGCAGATGCCCAACAACTGAGCCACCTAGGCACTCCACTGCAAGACCTCTTCATAAAGCCATTACCCTGAAGAACAGGAGATGCAGCTGACTTTCCTAACACAGAGAAACAGGCACAGAGACGTAGACCAAATGAGAAGACAAAGGAATCTGTCCCAAATGAAAGAACAAAACAAGGCCGCAGCAGGAGATCCAAGCAAACAGATAAAAGCAACATGCCTGATGGAAAAATTAAAGCAATGATCATAAGGATACTCACTGGACTTGAGAAATGAGTGGAAAACACCAGTGAGACCATTGTCATAGAGGTGAGGAATAACATACCACAGATAAGGAGCTCAAAAAACAAAATGAGAAGCATGCATGATGGAATGAACAGCAAGATGGAAGAAGCAGAGGACAAATTAATGACCTAAATGACAGAGCAATGGAAAGTAATCAAGTTGAACAAAAGAGAGAAAAAAGAATTACACAAAACAAAAATAGGGAACTCAGTGACTCCATCAAACATAACCTTCATATTACAGGGTTCTCAGAAGTAGAAGAGAGAAAAGGGGGCAGAGAATTTATCTGAAGAAATAACAGCTGAAAAATTCCCTCATCAGGGAAGGAAACAGAAACCCAGATCCAGGAGGCAAAGAGAGCCCCAACAAAATCACCAAAGAAGGTCCACCCTAAGACATATTGTAATTAAAATATATAGTGATATATACTAAGTAGTAATACAGTAATACAGTGATAAAGAAAATATATTAAAAACAGCAAGACAAAAGACAGTTACAATACAAAGGAAACCCCCTAAGGCTACTGGGATTTTTCAGCAGAAACTCTACAAGCCAGAGGAGAGTGGCATAATATATTCAAAGTGCTGAATGGGGAAAACTTACAGCCAAGAATATTCTATCCCAGAAAGACTATCACCCAGAACAGGAGAGATAAAGAGTTTCCCAAACAAAAACTAAAGGAGTTCATTACTATTAAACTTGCCCTGCAAGAACTATTAAAGGGGACTCTTTGAGTGGAAAGGAAAGACCAAAAATGAGAGTATGAAAGTAGGAAACACAAAAAGCAATTAAAAAAATTATTTCTGTAAAAAAAAAAATCAGTCAAGGAACACACAAAATAAAAGGATGTAAAATATGACACTATATACCTAAAAGGTGGGGAGGAGAGGAGTAAAGAATGGGTTCAAACTTAAACAACCATCAACTTAATATAGACTATATGCAGATGTTATATACCTAATAATAACCACAAATCAAAAACCCCTAACGGATATACAAAAAAATAAAGAGAAAAATCCAAATATATCACTAAAGAAAACCAGCAAACTATAAGAGACAAGAAATGATCAGAGGGAAAAATCTTCAGAATCACAAAACAAGTAATAAAATGGCAATAAATGCATATCTATCCAATAATTACTTTGAATGCAAATGGACTGAATGCTCCAATCAAAAGACAGTCAAAGAATGGGTAAAAAAACAAGATCCATCTATATGCTGCTTGGAAGAGACCCATTTTAGACTTAAAGACACCCATAGACTGAAAGTGAGAGGATGGAGAAACACTTATGCAAACAGAGGTCAAAAAGAATCTGGGAGTAGCAGTACTTATACTGGACAAAACAGACTTTTTAAACAAAGACTTAACAAGAGATGAAGAAGGATATTAAATAATCATAAAGAGAACAGCCTAACAAGCAGATATGACAAGAGTAAATATTTCTGCACCCATATACATAAAAGTCATTAACAGAACTAATCAATAACAATACAATTCTAGCAGGGGACTTTTACACCCTACTTACATCAATGGACAAATCATCTAAACAGAAAATCCACAAGGAAACAATGAATTTGAATGACACCCTAGACCAGATAGACTTAACAGATATATTTGGAACATTCCATCCTAAAACAGCAGAATACACATTCTTTTCAAGTGCACACAGAACATTCTCCAGAACAGATCCCATATTAGGCCACAAAACAAACCTCAACAAATCCAAAAAGATCGAAGTCATACCATGCATCTTTTCTGACCACAATGCTATGAAACTAGGAGTCAACCACAAGAAAAAATCTGGCAAGACCACAAATACATGGAAATTAAATAACATGAAAACATGCTCATCAGTACTCATTATCAGGGAAATGCAAATCAAAACTATACGTCACGCCTGTCAGAATGGCTAAAACAAAAAACACAAGAAACAAGTGTTAACGAGGAAGTGGAAAAAAAGGAACCCTCCTCTTGCACTGTTGGTGGGAATGCAAACTGGGGCAGCCACAGTGGAAAATAGTAAGGGGGTTCCTCAGAAAGTTAAAAATAGAACTACCACATGATCTAGCAATTGCACTACTGAGTATTTACCCAAAGAATACAAAAGCGCTAATTCAAAGGGATACACGCACCCCTGTGTTAATGCAGCATTATTTACAATAGCCAAGATATGGAAGCAACCTAAGTGTCTATCCACAGAAGAATGGATAAAGAAAACATGGTGTGTGTGTGTGTGTGGAATATTATGGAATATTACTCAGCCATAAAAAAGAACAAGATCTTTCCATTTGTAGCAAACATGGATGAACACAGAGAACATTATGCTAAGTGAAATAAATCAGAGAAAGACAAATACCATATCATTTCAGTTATACGTGGAATCTAAATAACAGAATAACAAACACGGCCAGGCTCTTAAATATAGAAAACAAAGTCGTGGTTAGCAGAGGGCAAAGCAGTGTGGGGAGAGGCGAAATAAAGGGAATTAAGAGGCATAAATTTTCAGTTATAAAATACATAAGGCACAGAAATGAAAAGTAGAGCATAGGGAATATAGTCAATATTATAATAACATGATAATATTGTATGGTTACAGATGAGGACTACATTTATTGTGGTGAGAACTGAGTAATGTACAGAATTGTTCCACCAGTATGCTGTACACCTGAAACTAACATTATATGTCAACTACACTTAATAAAAAAAGAAAATCATAAGGAAAATATATTTATAGTTCTATACTGTAATATCAAAAAGAATCCATATATAAGTGGATCCACACATTTCAAACTTGTGTTGTTTAAGGGTCAAAAGTAATATTATTGGGGTGCCTGGGTGGCTCTCAGTGGGTTAAAGCCTCTGCCTTCAGCTCAGGTCATGATCCCGCATTGGGCTCTCTGCTTTGCGGAGAGCCTGTTTCCTCCTCTCTCTCTGCCTGCCTCTCTGCCTACTTGTGATCTCTGTCAAATAAATAAATAAAATCTTAAAAAAAATATATTATTATTGAAAAATTAACTTATTAGAAATAGCTGCAGTATGATCCCATTTTTATAAAAAACAAAAGGCTATGTGTAATATGTATGTATAGATATATGTATATAACATGCATATATATATGTATATACATATATATGTTTGTACAAACACAGTATAAGTCTAGAAGGACATACACCAAATTGTTAACAGGTTAGGGGGTGGGGGAGCAGAAGGCACGATGGCAATGAACAGAGACACTTTTACTTCTTACCTCATTTACTTGGGTATTGTTCAAATGTGTTACAAAAGTATGTATTACTTCGGTCCCTTTAAAGCACCCTATAAATGAATTTTTTTTTTAAAAGCCTGGCCTTAGGCTATTTAGTATTAGTATCAAATTAAAAGGTTTAGGGGTTGAGTAGTTCTGTGATTTCTCCTGAATATGATTTATAATGTAGTTTTTTTGGTCAACATTGTTGTAGATTTCTTGAAAATCAGTAACACTCAAAATAAAAATGTCAACAAAAGCCAAGTTTGATTAGTTTTTATAGTATTTACTATTAGTATTATTTGGTGAGGTGAGAGTAGTTCCAATTACATTTGTTGACACATTAAGAATAAAATATTTAGGGGTGCCTGGGTGGCTCAGATAGTTAAGCATCTATCTGCCTTTGGCTCGGCTCATGATCTCCAGGTCTGGAGATCGAGCCCCACATCGGGCTCCCAGTTCAGTGGGGAGTCTGCGTCTTCTTCTTCCCTTCCCCCCTGCCTGTGCTCCATCTCAAATGAATAAATAAAATCTTTAAAAATAAAATAAAATATTTAATATTCTATTTTCAATGATTTTCTACATCAGTACTATCTAATTGGAATTTCAGGTTTCAGGTACATATACAAAACATTCGGTATGTATATATTGAAGCTAATACATGGAGAAAACAAAATACATTTAACAAAGGATTGGAATTCACAATGGATTGTTAAGTACTTACTTGAAAAATGTTCTTGGTCGACACCATTACTGCTTCCCACTATATTACATAACTGGGCATTCGTTATCAAGTTGTGCATCCCAAGAATAGCTACAAATATAGAAAGAGTTACTTTTATTTCCATCAGTTTCAAACATAAATAATTGATTATACAACCAAAAATTTCTGATTTTAACATTTTCTGAACATATTATTTTGCAGCCAAAAAGGGAGACAATGTGATTAAAAAATCACCTATAACCTCTTTCTCATTAATACCCCTATTATTTCACCCCTTATTTGGATTTAGATTTCCCCACATTTATGAATTCAGACACGCAACTGAAGCCAGCCTAACTAACCGTAAATGTAAATCTATACTTAGCTCCATCTGGTGGTTAAGAGAGAATACTGATATGATCTATTTTTGCTGCCCACTCTCACAAGGGTTCTAAGAACAATGCAATCTAAGGCAGATTTTCAACTTTACCATTTTTACATTTGTTAACCTCATGTTCATTTACATTCATATTTTAGCTAAGAGTAAAATACCAAAAGTATAGCTGAATTCTCATCTTTAAGATTAAAGTAGCATCCCTCAAAAATGACAGGAGAAATCTGGTTTTCGGTTTAATGCCCCTTTGCACACATGTGGCAGAAGCTACAGTACGCCCCTGGCCCATTCCCCTCTGACGAAAGCACCATTTACAACTCCAATAGTCCTCAGCATCCCAAGGAATTAGACACCTGCTCTGGCACTACACACTGATTGTCCCCTTCCTGGGTCCTTCCCAAAGAACCATCACTCTTCCTTTAAAACATGTAAGCTTCTGGGGTTCCTTAGTGCTAAGATATCCCCCCACAGGTCATATTTTTCTACCTCGGTAAATGGGTGCATGCAGAGGCAGGTCGGGGAGATACCTGTCCAGGAAAGAAACCAGCAATGATGAAAACAACAGGGAGGTTTGGAGTGCTCCAGATACACTTCAGAAAGTAGGGAAAGTGGTAATGATAGCTCAGGAATGCTTGTCTGCTTTCCAGTTACTCAACTTGGGGTCTTCCTTTTTTTCCCCAAAGTTTATTTTGTTTATTTTTAGTAATCTTGACACCCAAGGTGAGGCTCAAACTCACGACCCTAAGATCAAGAGTTTCATGCTCTTCTGAATGACCCAGCCAGATGCCCCTCATCTTGGGGTCTTAATGGTGAAATGGGACAGTAATTGACCCTGGAGAGACTTTTTCAACGCTTAGATGGGACAGCTTCTAGCTGAGCACCATCTGGTGAAAGATTTTTTATAAAGACTTTCAAATAATGTAACATGGGAAAAGATGTCAAATAATACATTCCATTAACATAAAAATTTCACCACTAAGAGCATTTTAAAAAATGAAAGTCTTTGCCAGATTTATAGTATAAAAGAAAAAGCCAAATATGTGGTCTACTGATTCAACAGCACTTTACTAGGCAAAGGAAGCATCAATAAGTGATATGATATAAGTGCTGGCATTCCCCTCCCTTCCCCTCCCTTCCCCACTCATTCACCCATCTGTTTTAGGAGATACCTGCAAGGTCACACAATTCTGTATCAGAAGCACTTGTCAAAGCTTCTTCTAATTCCGGATCAAGAGATATTTTTTCTTCTGTGAAAGTCTGCATAGGTTTCTGTTTCGGGATAAATATTTTCCCTGTAAAATAAAGCAGTTTGTTAATTCCGATATTTCTATTAACTACTCATTACCATTTTACTCTTTTAACAAAAATTATGAAAAGTATGTACAACTGAAGCTGAGGGAAAAAGTCAAGATAAACACCTACAATAATGTTTCATCTTCAGATTTTTTTAAAAAAATATTTATTTATTTATTTGACAGAGAGAGAGAGAGAGCGAGAAAGGGAACACAAGGTGGGGGAGTGGGAGAGGAAGAAGCAGGCTTTCCACAGAGCAGGGAGCCCGATGCAGGGATCAATCCCAGGACCCTGGGATCATGACCTGAGTCGAAGGCAGACGCTTAATGACTGAGCCACCCAGGCGCCCCGATCTTCAGATTCTTTTTTTTTTTTTTTGGTACGGGAATGGGGGGTTAGAAAATTCATCTACTATCCTGCTCTAAGATTAGGAGTCTGAAAACACTTTGGGAAAATCTTTACCTATAAAATGGCATAATGATGCTTCGCTTAGGAACTGCTGTGAAGCTAAATGAAATAGTGCTCGTAAAAAAAAAAGCAGAGTGTCTGGCTCAAACAGCATTCTTTATCTTGGCTATACAGGGATTATTTTCCTTATTAATGTAAAAAATTCCTGTTTTAGCTTCATTGTACTTATGATTTTCAATGTGAACAACCTCAAATATTGTTTTTTAAATAAATAAAACATACAGGAATGCATTCATAAAAAAAAATGTTGTTTCATTTTCAATATGTATTTTAAGTTTCCAGGGCAATACTAGGGCTGGCTGCACAATCTGGAATGAAGGAGAAAAAAAAAAAAATCAACTGAGAAACTGTTCTATTTGTGAAAATAAAAATAGGTTCTTTTGGGAGTAATTACGAGTTACTCAACAAATACTGAATCAAACGATGTATGTAGGAATAAAATTTAGATATCTATAAAACTTTTAGAGATTTAAAAAAAAAAAACAATGGAATCAACTTTCTTACTCTTAAGCAACAAACTGTTGGCCAAGGGAACAATCAAGTTTATGAGCCCAGAAATTCAAGATCTAATTGCAAAGAAATTCCTGTATGTCCTAAGAGGTATCTGGAAACTTTAGGTCACTATTCTTCTAAGCCTCAATGGATGCTAAAAAGGTTACCCGTTAAGAAACTTACAGGTTTTTAGAAAACTAAAATCTTTATTATGTGAAAACCAGTATTTTATTACCACATGTTCAATGCAAGAGTGAAAACATGAAGGAAATGGAAAATGGTAATGATGTAACTGCAGCACAAGCTGATCAAACAAGACATACTCATACATGGTGGGCACTGGGTTACCAAGAATGCCTTTGGTTTCTCTCCCAAGACAAGTGAAAAGTCTCACTAAATGATCTAGAAAGGTCTATGCATACCTTCACAGAAGTGCCAATTTCTTTTCCATTAGGAAAACTACCAGGGAAATATGCAAGATTATGTGGCGTGATGAATCTATGCAGTGCTCTATCAAAAGAATGTCTGTGGGCTTATAAGTAATATAGCGAGTGTTGTGTACTTCTTATTCAAAATATACCTCAACCCGTGCAACCAAAAGGAATCCTTCCACAACAGACTGCTTCTAGCAATCTGGCCAAAACTGTTCAGCTATATTCTACTAAGCCATCTAAAGAATCTTAATTTCTGATATTATGTTTTTTATGGTGAGCATTTCCATTTGTTTCTTATTAAGAAAATAGTTTCCACATCTCTGCTGAAATTCCTCCTCTGTTTATGCATGCTGTGTACCTTGTCCACTAGATTCTTTGGCATTTTTGTTATAGTTATTTTGAAGTCCCTAGCTGATAACACCAATATCCATGTCATGTCTAAGTCTTATATTGACTGTTATTTTTTGAGTATGGGGAATATGTATCTTAAGATCTTTGGCTGCATGCTAGGCATTTTTGTATAGAAGTATAGCAGAGACTGAAGGAAATGATATTTCTTCTTAGAGGCATGCCCTGTAGGTCAGGGCTGAATCAATATGCTCTACAGTTGAGCTGAATCTGGGCTTTGTCACTTTAGTTTGAGTCAGTTCCTCACTGGCTTCAAACATTCTGAATATAGGATCAGGACTTTCTCTCCAGGAAAGCCTCAGATTACAACCCTCATGAGGTTCTGGAGATCTGTGCTCCCTCCCTCCTTTTTTGAACTATGAACCGTGAGGAATTTCTACTGATATGAAGCCCAGGCTGCCAGCTTTCTGACTGAATGGGGAGCTGCCCTTGTTTTCCTGTCCCACCCCCTGATTTCTGGGCTTTGGCAGATCTCTCAGGCCCCTTCACCTAGTCTACTCTACACTCTGTGATGTTGGGGTTGGCCTGGAAGGGTTTTCTCCCAGCCCTCCTGCCTCTCTGAGCTGAAAACCTATACCTCAGGAATTTTCTCTCAGCTCTGCTTCACTGCCTTTGTTCTTCTAATATCCTTAGCACTAAATGAAGACCTAAGGGAAAGAAGTGGGAGTAGTGCAATCTTAGCATCTCTAAAGCTGCACTGTCCAATATAGTAGCCACTAGCCACATGTGATTATTTAAATTTAAATTAAATTAATTAAAATTAGAAATTCAGTTCCTCAGTCATACTAGACACATTTCAAGTATTTGATAGCTACATTTGGCTAGCATGTAGCCACCACACTGGTTAGCACAGACACTGAACATTTCCATTATGGCAGAAAGTTCTAGTGGATAGCACTGCTGTAGCACCTCTCTGGATTTCTAATCTATCATCTAATCCAAACATCATCATTAAAAGTTTGTTAAAAATTAGGCTGACTTCTCCTGACTCCTATGATGGTTTTCTGCTTCTCCCTACATTTCAGTCAGCCAAGAGAGAAGTATGTCACTGATCTAATGGAGAGCTTGTCACTTTCTAAAGTCATTTAGGTTTGTGTCCTCAAGCTCTCTGACAGATTTTTAAAAACGATAATGATGTACTTATACTGCTTGTCTGGGTTAGTACATAAGAACAACAGTCTCTTGCAACTTTCTACATTTGAATTAGAAGTCTTTCTGGATAAACATTTTTTAAAAATGGAATTGGTCAATCCACAATATATTTGTATTAGTAAGGATTTTTTTTTTAAAGATTTTATTTATTTATTTGACAGAGATCATAAGCAGGCAGAGAGGCAGGCAGAGAGAGAGGGAGAAGCAGGCTCCCTGCCGAGCAGAGAGCCCGATGTGGGCCTCGACCCCAGAAACCTGGGATCATGACCTGAGCCGAAGGCAGAGGCTTTAACCCACTGAGCCACCCAGGTGCCCCAGTAAGGATGTTTTTAACTGCAAGTAATATAATACTCAATTAAAAGTGGTTTAAGGGTGTCTGGGTGGCTCAGTCGGTTGGACGTCTGCCGTCAGCTCAGGTCACGATCCCAGAGTCCTGGGATTGGGCCCCACATTTGGCTCCCTGCTCAGTGGAAAGTCTGCTCCTCCCTTTCCCTCTGTCTGCCACTTCCCCGTGCTTTTGCTCTGTCTCTGTCAAATAAATAAATAAAATCTTTAAAAAAAAAAAAAAGTGGTTTAAACTGGTGCGTCTCAGGCTTTAATGTGCACCTGACCCACCTGGTGATCTTATTAAAGTACAAATTCTGATCAGTAGGTCTCACATGGGATCTGAGTTTCTGCATCTAACTAATCTCCAAAATGATGCCAATACTGACCCACAGACCACTTCGAAAGCAGCAAGACTTCAAACAATAAGTATTTTTTTTTAATCTCAGTAAGTCCACACATAGGTGGTTGTAGGGTTGGTTCAGTGGCTCAGTGTTGACATCAAGGCCCAGGATCTTTCCATTCTTCTCTTTGGTTATAATCAGCATAAAGGCCTTTGTTCTCAGGCGATTAGTCTCAAGATGATTTCTGCAACACTAAGTATCAAGACCTCATGCGACAAGGTCAGGGCAAGAAGGAGGGACATAATTTTTATAAGAAAATCTTTATAAGAAAAACCGTGCAGGCTTCGCCTCAGGTTTCTCTGGCCAGAACTGGTCATATGTCCAACTGCAGGGGTGGCATTTTCATTCTATTTCAGAGATAGGTTCTGCCAGTAAGGCTGAAGGGATCTGTGAATTGTTACTGAAAATGCCAACCACAGAGTGTGTCCAATATTAAACTGGATGCAGGACAGCTCTGTGCTTCCTTGATTCCCTGAACATTTTGCTATAGCTACACAGACACATACTGCTTATTTGTCTTTTGTAAAATTTACAAGGGCATGGTTTTTGTTCTCTGTTATCTCTACATCCTTGCCTAGTGCACAGCAGGCAAGCCAATTTGTTGAATAAATAATCTGGTGATCACCTCCAGTTCAACTACATCATTTTATAAAGCATAATTTAAATACCCTGGTTCTAAGTTACACGGCAATGTGAACACTAGAACACAGGTTCCCAAACTCCGAATCCAGTGTTTCTTCCAATAAACTGGTAGCTTTCAAACTTAACTTTTTTTTAGCAGTAGACATTCCCCCTAATATAGCTATATATATGATGGTATCCATAACTGATCTACTTCGTACCAAATTTTGGAGTTCTGATGATTATTAGATAATTTTTTATTCTTGGTCGGCAAAGGCAAATCCAAATCGTTACATCCTGATAACTCCATAGTACTTTTCTCAGTGGTTTGACAGTATATAATTTTTTTTAAAAGGTTTTTATTTATTTGACAGAATACAAGCAGGGGGAGCAGCAGAGAGAAGAGGAGAAGCAGGCTCCCTACTGAGCAGGGAGCCTGATGCAGGGCTTGATCCCAGGACCCTGGGATCATGACCTGAGCCTCAGACAGACGCCCAACCAACTGAGCCACCCAAGTGCCCCAGTTGACAGTATAATTAAAGTGGCTTAGAATTCATGACTTTAATTGTCATTTTAGGATAATTACGTTATCCTGAGCTCAGTCTCACCTGCATTTTCAACAGTCTATGGCAGGAGTTTTAGAGACTGGCTGCACACTGGATTCACCTGGGGGACTTTAAAAAATTCTGATGTCTA